GCGGTAGAAACACGAATGGGACAGAGGTACCCAAGCAATCGACTTTTGTACAAAGTCTCAGGTCAGGTCCGCTTGTTTGCCATTCTAAGTTGTATAAAAAAAAGATACACATCAATACTTAAATAATGAATAATAATAATAATAAGAAAATACGTAGCTATCGTGATACAATTTCAATGACTGGATAATATTGTAACAGATCCTTAGACTATTTCTAAAGTGAAAAAAGTGTCCTCCTCTCTCGTACTTGCTGTGCCCAACAGAGTCCATAATTGAAGTTGAAATGTTATCTACTAATCACATTATGCAATTCAATAAGAAATAAATAAATAAATAACATTTTTTCCTTTTCACGCGCGTGCCATGGTAACACAAAATGTTCACAACTCAGTCTATTTGTGAGTCTCTTGTGTGCTTTGCCCTCAAAAGAACAAAACACTGATATTTTGCTGTATATAGTTACAGTAATATACGTTATACGGCTAGACGTTTATATTTTATACTTAAAGCCTATTTTTATGTATAATATCAATGCCATCGTTTACGGGAACAAAGGATGGTGAATGCCAATCTGTGGTGAGTTGAGCGCACCCGCGGCCACCTTGCAACGCTCGGAAAGGTTACAGCAAATATTTGTGTCGCCGAGCACCGGACAAACAATATTGGGTGTGCAAACAAAATATTTTTCATTAAAATCCTCACCCTAAGAAAAGTGGGTAACAATTGAAAATTACGGAGCGACGGAGCGCTTGTTTGCTACTCTGGAATAAAATCACGTCAAACATAAATGTTAAGAGAAAAACAAGCAATAATGTTTTTACTAGCACACGTGTACTCGAGGGAATTAATTTTATATCATTGTCATATTAACTGGCCATTGTTGAACAAAGGCCTCTCCCTTGGAGGGTTTTGCCAGTAGTTGCCACGCTTGGCAGGCGGATTGGCAACCGCAGTTAGGGTTAAGAGATGTTTTAAGAAGGACGCTGCTGCCCATCTCTCGCCTTCCGTTAGTTTTTACGATACCCACAGGATAGGATATGGTGGCCTATTCTATGCCGGGACTATACTGCTAGTAATTTCATATAGATAATATTAAAACTGCAGGTTCCTCTTAGCAGTTTTCCAATATTCCAAACCTTGCAGTATAATCATAAAAATATTGACGATTGTAACTGGACAATATCAGCATACAGGAGTTATTAAAGAAAAATATATACAAGGTGTCTTATTAAGGAGTAAAATAAGCCAAATTAAAAACTTTTGAATTTTTGTCTGTTTATATGTTTGTTTTAGCATAGCTCATAACTAATGTGTCATATATTATAGAAGTAATGTATTTCATTGTATTTCTTTTCTACTTCCAAGACCCACATGAACGAAAATGTGACCAAAAGCTGGTTATATTTGTAAAAAAAAAAATATATATTTGTGAGGTATCTTGCCTTACATTATTAACTTTCCTCTAATAGGATGTTTCTTGTCCACTATTACGGTTGCCAGGCAACTCGGTATCGAGTTTTATTTCGACTTTTCCTTCCTTGCACTAATTTATTGCCATTTATTTCTTTAGTAGCCTCTTATGACATTCACAAGTTCATAGGCGTACATAAGAAAGAAAACAATACAAAGTAAAGGTCAGGTGTCACATCATTCCAGGATATGGCCAGGGATAGAACTGGACGGAGAATGATAAACGAGTTAGTTGTCCTGGCTAGATAGAACTTTTAAATTGTAAAGAGGTTTGGTTTTAAGTAATTATGCTCCAATTAGTCAACTACCTGACTGAGGATATAATACATCATTTCTAAGAACTTTCTTAGTACATAATTATGATATTATATACAATGGCGACTTTAAGGAATCGTAACATTTATCTTTGTTGTTCAAATATTATTAATGCAAAAGTACGCAACGAGGAATGGATATTTATATTTATATTGTAGGTTATACCGTAACTTAGCATGTGGGATACATTATGTATTGATTTACACAGGTACAGCCGCGGGATACAGCTAGCAAGAATATATATCTCTAACATTAAAAATTAAAAAAAATTATAAATAGATAAAGAGTTCACATGATTTAAAAGTAATACTCGTAGAAGTATCGTAGTAATCTGTCATTGTAGATTTGTGGGGCAATATTGAGATATGTTGAAGAGAGAGAAAGAGAAAGAAAGAGAGAGAAAGAGAGAGAGAGAGCTATTAAAATATGTTTTGGAGACTAAATTCACCAAGCTCGAGAAACAAAACAAAACTCTTTCGAATCATACATCCTTCACTCTATGTACCAGGAACATATACAGTAGATACATAAAGCGTCCATTGGTATACAGTCAGATATTAACATATTTTTTTTTCTAATATTTGCTCGCAAGAAAGAAAAAATCGTAATAAAAAAACACACATAGATCAATTTTTTTCTTTAACAAGTGTATTGTTTAATTATGTATACAATTGAAAATGTACGGAATAGTAAATATAAAATCAAATAGGTCACCGCATAAGACCTTTCACCTTTAATACCAAATGGCATCATATTAAATTATACAATATTAAACATGGAACTAGTTTTATATATAATATTATATTCTAGATTTTTCAGTAAATAATTTGTTATTATTATGAATCCTCTGCACAACGGTTGTCCTATGTACATTTACTTAATAAACAAGTATCTAAATTCATTCGAATTTAGCTTTACAAGTAAATGAGTAAAATGATCCAACAAACGTGTCTATTTCAGTAAATAACTTGTTATTATTATGAGAACAGCGCGCAACGGTTGACCCTTATGCTCTTCTACGAATGTAATGGAGATTTACAAATAAGTGAGTAAAATGATCTAACAAACATGTTTGTTTTTGTAAATAACTTGTTATTGTTATGAAGACAGTACGCAATGGTTAGTCCACAAATATTTTGTTATAAAGGAAGTGACCAGTTTTATTCGAATTTAGCTTTACGAGTAAATGCGTAAAATGATCCAACAAACGTGTCTATTTCAGTAAATAAATTGTCATTATTATGAGAACAGCGCGCAACGGTTGGCCCTCATGGTCTTCTATGAATGTTATTGAGTTTTACAAATAAGTGAGTAAAATGATCCAACAAACGTGTTGGTTTTTGTAAATAACTTATTATTGTTATGAGGGGAATGCGCAACGGTTAGTCCATATACATTTTGTTAAAAAGGAAGTATCCAAATTCATTCGAATTTTGCTTTACAAGTAAATGAGTAAAATGATCCAACAAACGTGTCTATTTCAGTAAATAACTTATTACTATCATGAGAATAGCAAGCAACGGTTGGCTCTCATGCTCTTCTACGAATGTAATTGAGTTTTACAAATATATGAGTAAAATGATCCAACAAACATGTTGGTTTTTGTAAATAACTTGTTATTATTATAAGAACGGCACGCAACCGTTGGCCCTCATGCACTCCTACTAATGTAATTGTGCATTACAAATAAATGAGTAAAATGATCTAACAAACATGTGCATGTCGAAAAATATTTTGATATTGTTATGAAGGCAGCGGGTCGCTGTTGCCCCTCATGCATTTCTACGAATGTAATTTACAAGTAGCTTTATAAATAAGTAACTAAAATGATTAAAGAATTGTCACGATTTCAGTAAATAAATTATTATTGTAATGAGGGCGGAGTGTGAGGTTATTCTTAATACATTTCTACAAAGCCAGACTACACTGTCAAGGACTCAGTCGTGTACGGCAGCGACGGGTGTCATCAATTGATTTTCAATGAAATATAATAAAGATTATACATTCATACATATTTGTACCTGGGGAACTATATGTTTTGAACTGTTTTTGCAAAAAAGCTTATCATATTTAAAAACACTGTGTTGAAATAGCAAATTATTAATTTGACAATACTAAGAATTATACTCGTAGTATTTTGTTTTTGTCTAATAAAACTGACCTATCCAATATAAATGCGTTATATATTTCCACCATCGGTATAGGCACAACCCATAGAACAATAAATGAAACAATATCAAATATACCTCTTTCGCCTCGCTCACATTTATTCATTTATTCATAAAAGCTCGCCGGTTACGTTTATTTTTAACTTGGCCTTTTTCAGCACGTCACCTATTTGACCAATTTTCATAACAGTAATTATATCGAAGTCGTTTGTCTCTGAATAGTATTGTGATAGAAAAATAAGACCAGCTCGTAAGTGGAGTTATTTCATCACGTGTACCGGGCGATAAGCCCTACGAGGCCTAAATAAATTCGACCCTTCAGCCTATAAACAGATTTTAAGGCCAGATATAGCTAGTTTATTTTTATCGTATACAGGCAGACACTTCGAAGCTATTTTATTTGTTGGGCGCTACGAAATAATTCTCACCATTATATAAACAATAAAATGTATTTTCTATTATTGTGATAGTATAGTAACAATAATGGATACTTTTTAATATCATCATTCATCATCATTTCAGCCATTATCTCTCTATTGCTGGACATAGGTCTGCCCCATAGACTGCCATAAGGAATGGTCCTCAGCTACTTGAATCTATTGACTCCCTGCAATGCATTTGATATCGTCACTCCATGTAGTGGAGGGGTCGTCTTACACTGCTTTTACACTTTTCTAACTTAATCATTTATTTCGTTCCACAAAAAAAAATTTTTTTCTGTATATATACACCTAATTTTTTTTTTCTAACGCGGAGTTAGCTTGCACTGATATTGTAATATTGTAATGAAATTATTGGCTTAGATTTACCATGTATTACAAGATAGAATAACTTCTACGTTAAGATACATGGGCGAATAACATAAAGATGTTGCTGATATATATATATATATATATATATATATATATATATATATATATATATATATATATTCAGTCGTCTTTTGACTTTATGTAATACATACAATTTTCTTTTTTATAAAAAACTACATCTAGCAATGTATGAACCTTTTTAAGGTTCATTTTGAGCACTTGTCTATTTACTTACATGTAGGTTATTGAATCGGTGTGAGGAGCAGAGCGCTCGCACGGGCGGCGGACAGGACCGGGTGCACCTCTTCCAGCAGGTGGCGTCCTCGTCGTCGCCGCCGTCAGCTGCGCCGCCGCTGCCACCAGCACCCTCCATGCCGGCCTCTATAACAAGCACCACATTACCTAGGTATAATGATAATTCATTATAACATCATAACATATCCATGGTATATATTACTCGGCGCCATTTCCTCAGTATTTTAATCGTGTAGAATTAGCTACCCCTTCCATCTTGGTGTCGTAAGAGGCGATTAAGAGTACAATAATTGTAGACGGATTGACAGCAGAGTTCCTCTTTAAACATCACCAAAGTTTAGACTTTAGTGAAGTTAATTGCGGTTGCCAATGCGTGTGCTAAGCGTAGCAAATGTTGGCAAAACCCACCAAGGGGGAGAAATGTTTGTTATCATATCATACTAGCCTTTAACGGCCCACTGCTATATATAAGCCTTCTTCTTTTTGGGGGTTTGCCAGTAGTTGTCATGCTTGACAGGTAATTAGGTTTTGGAGATATTTTAACAGGGACACCGCTGCACATCGTTCGACCTCTTGTAGTTTCGTTTTACTACACCCTCGGAAAAGGAAGGGGTGGCCTATGGCACGATGGACTATGAAACATATAAAATGTATGGAATGAATATAAAAAGCTGAAATTCAGTGGTAGAATTGAACTGAAAAAGTTTCTTTACCAAACATCCATAACAATTACAATGCCATTACGTCTCATGACTGATCATCGGTCCTCTATGAACGGTACACTTCACAACAGTGAGACCGTAGCCTATAGATACTACCGTAGTCAGGCGGCTTAGTATACGTTTATAATGTAAATTTTTTCTTATCTTGTACCGGTTAAACATGCCTGATCCTCTAGATATACTTTGTTTTATACTAAATAGATGGCAAAACATGCACACAGCCTGTCTGACAGTAGTATTTGTTTGGATGATTCAATATTAATTGCGTCCATAATATTAAAAAAAATGTTTTACAATATAAAAAGTATCTATAACAAAATTGTAACCAGAAAACTTCTGTACTTATATATATATATATATATATATATATATATATATATATATATATATATATATATATATATATATATATATATATATATATAGGGATATAACAGTGAATTTACAGGGTACAGAGAATAACACTTAAGTCCAGGAATGGCAACGCATGGGGGGTATCATGGGCGAAACAGTATACTCTGTTATGGCCATGGTACTGCTCATGCCTATAGGCGATGGTTACCACTTTCTATCAGGTGGTATATTACTCGCCAAACGGTTTATGGCTGATTGTAAATACTAGGCTTACGTACACTGGAATTTATTATATTTGTAATCACCTATGATAAATAAAGAACTTTTGAAAACAAAAACAAAACAATCTGTAGGTAGGTAGGCGTACAAGGAAAGCATTAAGAAAATATAGACACGATTATTTGTACAAGGTCTAACCGAATGATCTGTAATGTGAATATGTACACGTGTATAGAGCTATAATATCGAAGTCGAGAAGGACTCGTGGATCCCTAAGGACTTCTTCATAAATGCAAAGTCGATCTCTTACGGGATAACTTGAGGAAGTGAATCGATTAGTTAATCGCTCGGAAACAAGACTTGGTATTACATAAATAAATTGCCTAATTTTTGTTTCCCTCAGAGGATATTTGACTACAATCGTTTCATGTTTATATCAATTATGTTAAAAAAATTTAACTAATTTTATCATTATTATTGTTAAGTGACGTAACGTTAATCATATTGTAAGACTGAGATTTGATACATACATACATACATATCTGTCATGTCTGTCTCCCATTAGGGTAGGCAGAGACAATGGAACGCCAAATGCTTCGATTCAAACAAACCTCTTTCGCTTCTTCCACATTCATCAATCTTTTCATACACGCTCGCCGGTTACGGGTACTTTTAATTTGGCCCTTCTTCAGCACGTCACCTATTTGGTCGTAAGAGACTGAAGTCGACTGAGATTTGATTTAATTTGAAATTAAATCGATATCACACCAATAGACATATTAAAATAAATAAATAAATAGACATCGAGTGGTACAATGGAGCTGTTCGTTTGACGTCCATTCGATGTAATTACTATACGGTCTCAATTAAATTATGCTAAACGTCACCCAAAAGTACATTTTTTATTATATACAAAGCAATAGTTACAAATTTACGTTTTCAAGTCATTTAAGACACTCGAAGCTCGAGTGCTCATATACTGACAGCTGTGCAGCTCTGTGACAAGACAATTGATCGACGGGAGTGGTGTACCACCACTGCCACAGTAGGCTGCCATCGTTCAATATCTTAGGAATGGAATGGTTACGCTCCAAAGCATTGACTTTTTTTTTACAAACTATGAGAATATGGAATGATTAATTAACAGGGTGTTTCATTAAAAAAAACAGACTTTAATTGTAACAATACCAGTATTTTGATTTTAAAACTAAACTATTAAACTGTTTTTTTTTTTTAATAAAATTTCTATAGGATCAATTTGTATAATATATACTTTCAGATTAAAAAATTCAAATCCGGTCACAGTTCGGCAATAAACATAAAGCAAAAGTATAAACCGAATTAACAAAAGAGATAATAATAAAGAATTAACGAAAGAAAGAAAGAATTCTGCTCTTTCTTCTCGAAGTCGATTGAAAAGGTCAAAAAGACTATTACCATGTCATGTCCAGTAGTCGATTTAGTATGAAAGTCTCTGAATTTTTGTTGTGTTCCGACCCATGTCAAAAGGATGCATTAAAGCAAAGGATTACAATTTCGCCTCGTCATAATCATCCCTTTGGCCCTTTTTCCATTATTTCAGTTCGCATAGTATATTTTGATTTCAACCTACATATACAAGTTGAATGCATTTTTTAAAATTTTGATATTCACGAGCAACTTTCGACTGCAACCCTGCGCCACGCTCCGTTGCCTATTGTAGTATATTTCTCGTCGTACCAGTTCTTAGAAAGAACATGGAATAATATAAATCTCATATTGTTGTTCAGCGAAAAATTGCAACAATAAGAACCCAAATATTATAGTAACCGCTCGTATCTATTTTTATTTATTTATTTACACATACACTAAACAAATTCTTCACTTAATAGTATCATTCATTAGATACACTCTTTTTTTTAGAAAAAAAAAATATAAACTATACATGTCAATATGATAAAATAACATAAAAGTTAAGATTCTACAATTATATACCTACTAGAGGGAGACTTTGTACAAAAGTCGATTGCTTGGGTACCTCTGTCCCATTCGTGTTTCAACCGTGAAGCAGTTATGTTTGCATGGCTGTGTTTCGGTTTGAAGGGTGGGATATGGCGTGAATTTACTGGGTATTCTAAGTTGCATAAAAAAAATAAATAAAAAAAAATATAATAACAACATTATTTTATTTATAATTACAATAAGAGAAGAAAATAAAACATAAGGTGAATGTACATAGCAGTGTTTGTGCAAAGGACCCAACTCAGCATATGTCGCAGTTTCAAATCTGAAGTTACGACACTGATTTTCAGTAGGCTCTAAATACGTAACTCACGGACACATGTATGCACGAAATGTGTATAAATATATAAGTATAGTAAGTAAGACAGTGATAAATATATACTATTATTAATTGATTATAACATAAGCATTCCAGACGAGTGCTCGCCTACGCAACAAAGTTGTTGGTGCCCACCAAAATATTATACACAGGTAAATTACATATTTGACGTGTAAATCTGTAATCATGTTGATAGTTACGAGAAAATCTTTAATTCACCAGACGTAGAAGGATTACCTGGAGAACCTGAATTTAAATTCAAATTATCTTTATTCAAATATACTTGTTTGTAAGCACTTTTATATTGTCATTTTTTTTTAATCTACTGCAGGATTCGGATGGTTGTGAAGAACCCGCAGGAAACTCAACAGTTACTCTTTTAAATCTCTGTTAACATTGTGTGTGTTATTAAATATTTAAATGTACTAACTAATAACAGTAAATGTACAAAAGTCAATTGCTTGGGTACCTCTGTCCCATTCGTGTTTCAACCGTGAAGCAGTTGTGTTTGCATGGCTGTGTTTCGGTTTGAAGGGTGGGATATGGCGTGAATTTACTGGGTACAGAGGAATAACACCTAAGTCCTCAAGAATGGCAACGCATGGGGGGTATCATGGGCGAAACAGTATACTCTGTTATGTCCATGGTACTGCTCATGTCTATAGGCGACAGTTACCACTTTCCATCAGGTGGGCCGTCAGCTTGTTTGCCAATCTAAGTATCTAAACCTATCATATTATATATAATGTATAATTAATTGTACCATATAATATTATATTAATAGTACATTGATTAATTGACTTATGACAGTTGAGATGAATGATTTGGAAGTTTTAACAATTTAATAATGGAAAACTGATTTAGTTGTATATAAATTTACACATACATACGTATATGTTATTCGGTATGGAAAATCAAATAATAGTAACAGTTGTATACTACGTCTGTAGTCACCGTTCAAGTGACAATGTATATGGAAAGCAAATTCGTTGTGCCACAACAACTCGCTCGCTCGATCTATTCATAGGTAATTTTCCCAATCGGCCCGCGGGACCCGGCCTGTATGTTTTGAATATTGCCTATTTATTGGCGTACTGAGACCCTTTGATGTATTCTGAATAAGGTTAGATGGGCGCAAAGCGAATATGATAGTGCAATGTATTAATAATACGAGAAATCGTCAGCTCCTCGCGCTCTGGGATATGTTTATTTTCAAAGCTATCGTCCGGAGGGTAGACGTGAATACAATGGCTCCATCACGACAGCGTCTCGCTTCGCAATCAACCGTCACGACTTTTGGATGCGAACCCTGAAATAAAATTAGTGAAACGACCCACCATACCTGTTACTCGGGTCGAGATGTCGACATAATAAAAGTGGCGCGTAAAACTTTTATCTCGTTCGTATAACGGGGCGATAGAGGGTGGCTGGAGGGGCAAGGGAAGGGGGGGGGGTACAGGGTGTTCACGACTTCACCGTCGCGACTGAGACCTACGAGTCCACAATAAACC